CATAAAACCAATAGCATGTTACCTTTTTCTAAAATACATTATAATAGATCTATTATTTATTATATACTAATAAATTCCTTCCAAATTTTATATTTATATGTATTTAATTTAATGTATTTAATTTAATTTAGCTACATATGCGTTTCAGAGCATCATAGGCTGAGGTGCAAAGGATCCATGAGCATCGTTGAGGCCAACTCTGGCCTCACCCCAGGGTGACCAAGTGAAACCCACGTCCCCAGGCGTCATCCGTTGCCTTGGGGCTGTCACTGCTGCCCTGGGGGCCTTGTCCCAGCAGTTCTGTGTAGGTATTTTATAAATATGGCTAAATAATAGCTGCATAAATAGATATACACTCACTTTCTGTGGAAGGCATGTTTACAGGGACAGATCCCCAGCTCGTCCTTGGGCTTGAACTCCTCCAAGCAAACGGCGCAGATCTGAAAGACACCAAAAAAGTCAGCTGCTGGGAAGCAAAATGAAGTTAAAAAAAACCCCAAAACCTGCCCCTAAATGATGCCCTCAGGCAGTTCCCATCTCCTCAGCGCTCGCCTTCCCCTGCCCTTTGGTAGGGGAAAAAAAAAAGGGCAGTTTGGGTCTTGATGCTGGCCAGGATCAGGAGGGAGGTTTCTGCATCCCAGAGGGGTGAAGTTCCCCCTAAAGCCTCCCCAGACTTCACTGCTGGGCTTTGGGATCGCAGGCTGAGGCTTGGGTTCCCCTGTTGTGGCAGAGGGGACCTCGGAGCCCCCCCTGGAGGAGCAGCCACGAGGAACAGCCCAAGGCCAAGGAGAGGGCTTGTGATGGAAAACAGAGGAAAACCAAACCCCGAAACTCGGGGCTGAAGATTTTGGCGGGGATTTTTATTCTGGGTGAGCCCTGGCAGCCGCCCCAGGACGTTGCAAAATCCACTTTCACAACCGCTTACTGTAAATACCCAAATCCAAATCCCCAAAAAAGGGCTATTTTGGAGCGAAACCCTTCCAGCCTTTCCCAAATCCCAGGGAAGAGCTCGAGCTGCTCCGTCCCCTTCCCCACGGACCCCCCTCGTCCTCCCCAGAAGCGTTTGGGCTGGCAGAAGAGGCGATGGAGGAGGAGGATGCAGGGTTATCGCTGCCATTCCCGGCTCCGGCGCGGTTCCAAATGTGTTTTGAAGTGTTTTGAAGTCTCTGTGCTGGCAGAAAAACCCCGCTGCAAGGCAGCTTCATGTGAGGGATCAGAAATCGGGGCCTCTGCTCGGGGAAGTTAAAATAAAATAGTGGCTCATAAAGAAATGGAGCTGGTATTTAACAGATGAGAACACTTGGGTTGGCTTTTTTGGTGTCACTGGGGGAAATAAATGCAGCCCATGTTTGAAGCAGGGTTCACACAGATTCCTGCTCAAAATGGTTTGTAAATAGGGACACTCAGCCCCAAAACAGCCTGGAATCCTCCTCCCGAATTTGAGAGGAAACCCCCATGTTTTTGGGGCTGGAAAAAGGGGTTTTAATTCTTAACAGATCCAAGCAGACACATTTTTGCCTGCTTCTTCCAGCAGCGTTTCCCTGCCAAGCTGCAAAGCAGCTGGGGAGCGTGTTTATTTTTGATTCCCATTAAATCCCAGCAGAGTTTACTGTGCCCCAGCACCGGGGCTGGATATCGTCACGCTCTGATGGTGGCCTCCTCTTTTATCCACAGCTTTTTATCCAGTGGGGACAATAATGCAGTGAAGAATACAAATAATAATGCAGTAAATAATAATAATAATGCAGTAAATAAGGGGGGCCCATAAAGAGAAGGGACATGGTTTAATCCAGCCCCTCCTTGGGGATGTGCTCACCTCGTGTAGGTTCAGCTCCTTCACCTTTTCCTTGAGTATAACCTGCAAGACAGAGCACAGGGGTTAGGACACAGCTTGTTCACAAGAAAAGACCCCATAGGGACCCCATTTATTGTCCCAGTAGAACTGGGAACCCCCCCCCAGTAACCCCAGCACAGCCAGGAGCACATCAGGCCTTCACCCCATGCAGGAACAGGAGGATGGCAGTGCTGGCACAGCCCTAACCACTGACGCCAGCACCAAATCCAGGTTTCCTCTTGATTTTAAACCTCCTGGGCTCTGCAACAAGCTCCTGCATGGGCCTCTGCACTTCATTTTCACTCCATTTTCACACCTGGAGGGGGCTGTAAATCCAGGATGACCACGTGTTATCACATCAGCCCAACACCACCAAGTTTCCTGCTCCAATGAGAGATCGGAGGCAGGAAAATTACACAAAACATCACAAAAATCATGAAGAAAACAGGACCCTGAAGCAGCACCAATCTCTTGGCCATGTTTATTTTAGCAAAGTGTGGGTGCATGTGGGGAAAAACTGGTGATGTCCCTAAATTAGGTCCCTATGAGGGCCCTGTGGATGCGGGAGGTCCAGAGCAGCCGGGTCCAACCCAGGGAGCAGATCCAGACCCCACAAAACATCATTCGGTTGCTGGGGAAGCGATGGGGTTACTCCAGGGGTGGAGATGTCCCCACCACGCAGGGATTTCATCCGAAAATGTGGAGATCTGCACACTTAACGGGTGAGAGATGCTCCCGGGGTGCCCAGCTGGCAGAAATACCTTACATTTTCCTGGACAGACGTTTGCCCGGGTGCTACAGCTTCTCTTTGAAAGCCAAAAGGCCCCCTAGGAGAAGAACAGCACAAGGAAACCTGCAGGGGGGGACCACTCCAGTGAAGAGGATGATTTACCGTGTTATCACCTCACCTGTTTGTAGGCGTAAAGCTCTTTGTGTGCTTGGTGTCTGAGCCTGCAAACGAAACAGAGAAAACATGAACCCAGGCCCAAATACCCACCTCTCTAATACCCCAACACTTAATTTCCCTCCTTTCCAGATTAAATATATATATATATATTTAAATTTTTTCATTCCAGGAATGAGATCAGCCACACAAAATGATACATCTAAGCCACAGTCAGCTTCCCCTGTAGCCAAGGAGGCAAAATCTCCATCCAGAAGCACACAGACTCCCCCTGTTTTCCTCTTTCGACCTCCCTAATTTTCCACACTTGGAAAAATCGCTGCTTGGCTGATGCTGGGTTGCTCAAACATGGCTTTATCTTCGGTTTTAATATCATTTGTGCTGCTTCTGCCTCCCAAAATCTCAGGGAGAAGCCTTCAACAAGAGGTCACCCCCTGGTTAAGCAAAGGATGGGCTTCAATTTATCCGAAGATCTCACTGGAGCAGAGAGCCTTGAGGAGAAGCAAGGGGACATCTTCCATCTCTCATCTCTTATTGCAGAGCAGGGGGCAATTTAATAACCAGAGAGACAAGGAGCTGCCAAAAACTGCAGGGAAATGAACCTGTATATTGGGATTTTGAGGGGTTTTCTCAGGAGAGCAGCCAGGGGTGGGCTATGTCCAAGCACGACCCAGGGGAAGAGCTGGGGCTGTAGCGGTGGAGCAAACTCAGGATTATAAACTGTGTCCCCCCCCACTGTGGTCAGCACAATTTTGGGGTTTTTTTTCCCCCAATAGCATCCATTCCTGGAGCAAATCAAGGGATGGAGATGGAGGGGATGAACCTGTTCCAAAAACTCACACCAAGTTGGAAAAACTAAAACTTAAAACTTCCATTTTCCCCAGCCAGCCCCGAGTGTGATTTGGGATGAGGACCCCCCTGGCCTGTAAATTCACGTCTCCAAAAATACTCTCCAAAAGTCGCATCCCTCCACCAACGACCTCCAGCAGAAACAGGAGCAGGAGATGCGCAAACAATAGCAAAACCGGGGTGAAACCGGCCCGATCCGCAGGGATCCTGGCAGCTGGGAAACTGGTTATGAAATCCAGATGGGGCAAAGCAAAATACGAGCCTGGAGACAGCATCCGAGGGGAAAATCTTGCCCAGGATGGGAAAAAGCATCCGACGGAGCACGGAGCGGTCACCAAAGCCACCGGAGGGACGGTGTTGTGCAGAACGAGCCCAAGCGTCTGTGGATGTGGTGGTGGCATCTGGACCAGTGATGGGGAAGAAGTGACCCCTGGGCATTGGCTGGGTGGTCGCATCCAGAGAGCAGTGGTCAAGGGCTCGGTGTCCAGAGGGAGGACGGTGACCAGTGGTGTCCCTCAAGGGTCTGTACTGGCACCAGTGCTGTTCAATGTCCTCATTAATGATGCTGACAGTGAGTGCACCCTCAGCAAGTTCACTGATGGCACCAAGCTGGGTGGTGAGGTCAACGTGCCAGAGGGAAGGGATCCATCCAGAGGGACCTGGACAAGCTGCAGAGGTGGGCCCAGGGGAACCTCATCAGGTTCAACAAGGACAAGGGCAAGGTCCTGCACCTGGGTAGGGGCAATCCTGGTTACCAACACAGGCTGGGAGATGCTGTGCTGGAAAGCAGCCCTGAGGAAAAGGACTTGGGGCACTGGGGGTTGAGAAGCTGGATGAGAGCCACCAATGTGCATCTGCAGCCCAGAAACCAACCCCAGCCTGGGCTGCAGCACAACAAGTGTGGCCATGGGGCCAGGGAGGGGATTCTGCCCCTCTGCTCTGCTCTGCTCACACCTCACCTGCAGGGCTGGGTCCAGCTTTGGAGTCCCCAGCACAAAAAGGACATTGAAGTGCTGGAGCGGGACCAGAGGAGGCCACAGAGATGATCCAAGGGCTGGAGCAGCTCTGCTATGGAGACAGCTGAGAGAGCTGGGGTTGTTCAGCCTGGAGAAGAGAAGGCTGCGAGGGGACCTTATAGCGACCTTCCAGGACCTGAAAGGTGCCTATAAGAAATCTGGGAAGAGCTGTTCACTGGGGCATGGAGCGATAGGACGAGGGGGAATGGTTTTAAACTGGAAAAGGGCAGATTTTGGTTGGCTATGAGGAAAAAGCTCTTCCCCATGAGGTGGTCGATCAGTGGCACAGGTTGCCCAGAGGTGGTGCAGGCCCCATCCCTGGAGATATTCAAGGCCAGGCTTGATGGGGCTGTGAGCAACCTGATCTGGTCCCAATGTCCCTGCTGACTGCAGGGTTGGGCTGGATCAGCTGTAAAGGTCCCTTCAACCCAACACATGCTGTGATCCTATGATTCTATCCTATAACATGGATCCACGGCTGATGCTGAGCAATACAGGAAGAATTTGCAGAAAAAAACCCCTTCCTGAAGGTTACGGGGAAGGGCATGAGCACATCTGGTCCTGAAGCGTGCGAGCTGCTCCTCCACGCTGCCCTTTCAAAGCCAGGATCCCAGATGGAGCCCGGTCGGACCAACGCAGCTGCGGTAACAAGAGCCCGGATCCTGGCAAGCGTCGGCCCCCGCTGGACCCAGAGCTTCATCCATCTCCTGTCAAGAGCTGCGACTCCGGAGGAATTTTTGGCAGATGGAGATAAGGGACCACACAGCGTCTTGAAAGGCAGCGCGGAGCCGCAGACTTGTGCGTACACCCACACCATCGCCCAATTGAACAACCTCCTCCCGTGGGTTTTGTCAGCTCTTCCCAAGCTCTCCGTGCTTCCTGATGGAAAAGGACCATCCCTGGCCTGGGTGGGTTCCTGTGCGACGACACGGCACGATCCACATTGCATCCGCTTGTTAAATCAACACCTCCCTTTTACACAGCCCCCAGCTGTAATTGTGTATTAAAGCCGTGCAGAAGGGGTCGGGAAGGCGTGGGGTAACCCAGGAGGCTTCAGCAGCTGGTTCAGGAGGGGTTAAAACACAATTTCAAGTCACTCTTTTCCCTTGTATACGAAATCCACACCAGCTGAGGTCACAGAGCACACTCAAAGGAGGTGGATGCTCCCAGGGGACATCGGCACAGCTAAAACCCGTGGCGCGGCAAAACCCTCCCAAACAGGGACCAGAGGATGCTTGTTTGGCTCTGTTTTGCCAATAAAAGAGCTGGGGGTGGTGGTTTGAAGAGCGATTCACCGAGTCCCTATAGAGTTTAGGGCTATAAAAGGATCATTAGATGATCTAATGCAACCTCCCATCTATCATAGGTCGTTAAATAGCACTTCGTTACTGCCGGGAACGGGAGCCAAAACGTCTCATCCAGAAAGGTCCTCTGTCTTGATTTAAAGACAGAGGATTTGCCACTTCGCTTGCTGGCTCCTTTCAACGGTTACTCACCCTCTCTCTTACAACATGCCTCCCACTTCTAAATTTAAAGCTTTTCTGGCTTGATCCTCCAGACATTACTCCTTGTTATTTCTTCTTTGGGGCAGAACACACCCAGCAAGACCCGGTGCCCAGGAAAACAGTCTGGAAGTCCAAACACCTCTTGGTTTTGCAAGTGAGCCGTATAGATTCAAGCCCAATCTGGGCAAAACAAGTCCTTGAGCCTTCTGAACACCGTTTTGTCTCATTTTTGGTGTCCCATCCCACTGGCATCCCAGTTGAAATGGACACGGATGCAACATCCCAACCCAGACCTTGTTAAAATACAAATTGCCTGGTCAGGGATAACCCCTTGATCTGTGTCCTGGTTTGAGGGACCTTCAAACACTCTTCTCTTGTGCATACTTGTGGGCAAAAGTGAAGATGTGATGCCCAAGCAGCACAGATCATCCCTGGATAAGCCTGGGTTTGGGCTCACCTGCAAGTTTTATGAGGCTTTGCTTCGCACAGAGCTGAAAATAGATGGAAATTATCAAATATTTAGAAGGCGACGCTGAAATCTTGCTTCTCTGGTCTACAAAAGCAAGACAAAATCATCTTCAACGCTCTCTGGATAAGAAACCCTGTGAGATGCAGCCTCCGTGGTGCAAGAAAAGATCACACACGTCTGACAGGGATGGAGGGAGGGGACTGGTGGCCCAACTCTCTCCTCAGTAGCTCATAAAATAATTAAAAGAAGCCCCAAACTGGAACAACCTTTAACCGTCCCGCTCCCCATTGTTCTGATTAACAAATCAACCCTGCACCATTAATCTCTAAACTGCGCTGTTGAACGAGTAATTTGTGTACAATAACGAACGGAGCGGGTATTAAACATTTCTTAAGCACACAGTCCATGAGTTACTCATTAAAGAGAGAAACGTGTTGAAACATAAGCAGAAAGGAGGAACCATAAAACATCCTTTTCCAGCCTTTCTGAGTAGCCAACCACGTTTTCATGCCTGTTTGAGTACACACAGAAATATATCTCCTGTTTTCAAAGTGGAGAATGTAATCGCTTGGCGGGGCTGGTAGCTCTGAGGTGTGTTGGGCAGGCGGTGCTGGGTGCTCACTGTGTATGTGTGGGGTAATCACTGTGTATGTGCTGGGTGCTCATTGTGTACGTGCTGGGTATTGTGTATGTGTGGGGTAATCACTGTGTACGTGCTGGGTATTGTGTACGTGTGGGGTACTAACTGTGTATGTGCTGGGTGATCATTGTGTATGTGTGGGGTACTCACTGTGTATGTGCTGGGTACTCACTATGTATGTGTGGGGTACTCACTGTGTATATGCTTGGTACTCACTGTGTATGTGTGAGGTACTCATTGTGTAAGCTCTGGGTACTCACTGTGTATGTGCTGGGTGCTCACTGTGTATGTGCAGAGTACTCACTGTGTATGTGTTGGGTACTCATTGTGTAAGCTCTGGGTACTCACTGTGTATGTGCTGGGTACTCACTATGTATGTGTGGGGTACTCACTGTGTATATGCTTGGTACTCACTGTGTATGTGTGAGGTACTCATTGTGTAAGCTCTGGGTACTCACTGTGTATGTGCTGGGTACTCACTGTGTATGTGTGGGGTACTCACTGTGTATGTGCTGGGTATTGTGTACGTGTGGGGTACTCACTGTGTATGTGCTGGGTGCTCATTGTGTACGTGCTGGGTATTGTGTATGTGTGGAGTACTCGCTGTGTATGTGCTGGGTGCTCATTATGTATGCACGGGGTACTCTGTATGTGTGGGGTACTCATTGTGTATGTGCTTGGTACTCGCTGTGTATGTGCTTGGTACTCACTGTATATGCTGGGTACTGTGTACGTGTAGAGTACTCATTGTGTATGTGCTTGGTACTCACTGTGTATGTGTTGGGTACTCATTGTGTAAGCTCTGGGTACTCACTGTGTATGTGCTGGGTGCTCACTGTGTATGTGCAGAGTACTCACTGTGTATGTGTTGGGTACTCATTGTGTAAGCTCTGGGTACTCACTGTGTATGTGCTTGGTACTCACTGTGTATGTGTGGGGTACTCACTGTGTAAGCTCTGGGTGCTCACTGTGTATATGCTGGGTACTGTTTATGTGTGGGGTACTCACTGTGTATGCGCTGGGTGCTCACTGTGTGTATGCTGGGTACTGTTTATGTGTGGGGTACTCACTGTGTACGCACGGGGTCTCCTGGCTCTGTTAGGGGTGAATGTTGGGTCTGACTGAGCAAATTCTTTGGTGATGAGGGCAACTGAAACGACTTCAGGGGTCACATCAGGTTGGCGTGAGATACATCAAGGACAAGGTGATGCCACCCTTGTTTTTGGGATTAGTGATGGGTTTGGTCTGAACCAAGGCAGCTCTGGAAGGAAAATTTGCTTACCTGATCAAGTAGCAACAGAAGAGCAAACTGAGGATGAAGACGAAGATGGCCGTGCCGAAAACCACGATGTATATGTTGAGAGGAAGGTTCTGGAACCCGATGTTCGGCATCCTGAAACTGTAGTGCTGGAAGTCTGAGCTCATGGGTAGGCTGCGGAGACAGGGAGAAAACACAGGGATGTGAGGCTCCTTCGGGAACACGGGGATATCCTCCAGGGACCGATGGTCCATCCAAAAGTGGACAGGGGGAAGGAGATCTCAGCAGCCCCGAAAACAAAGCAGGGCTGGATCAGCCAAGATTTTTCTTCTCCCGCTGTGAGCTTCTCCTCCAGCTTTTTCCCCTCTTCTCCACACACCTCATCCTTCAAGTTCAACGCTGCATCAGATGGACGGTGGGGATTTGCGGCCGAGCAGCCCTAGCTGTACCCAATACCCCAAAAAAACCCTAAAGTATCAGGCTAAAATATGGAAACCAGCCAGAAAGCCTTGCAGCAAGGGAAGATTTCCTTCCCTTCCCCTCCTGTGCTTTCCAAGACCGATTCCTCTCTCTGCAGAAATCCCCCTTCCAAACCCATCGAGACCTGGTTTGGTTTTCACCATGCGAGACGCGGATCGGGCGGTTTAAGGGCATTTTGGCAGATTTCAGCTTTATTCCCCCCTGCAAAAACCCCGACGCGTGACCAAAACCTCCCTCCCCTTGGACAGACCCAATTAAACCACGAGCAGCTGCCGGGGATAATGACTCCAGCACCTCATTGCTCCCATGATTTCGGTTTTACGACTCGCTGCGCGGGACACCAATAATTTACAATATTCCTACCAAGGTGGTTTGCAGGAGTCGGGCAAAAAACCAGCCCCATGCCTCTGTAAAATCCCCTCACTGCTGTAACACCACGTTAGCGCTCAAAACCCTTAACTGGAAAGCACATATTTGTTATTTCCTCTTAATATTCCTTTTTACTGCGATCGTTTTCTGAGCCGTTCACCCTTGAACGATCACAACCGTCTCTGGCTGGGCATAAAGTTCACCCAGCCCCAGCTCAGCAAAGCAAGTTCAAAATCTGCCTTGTTTTCCACAGGAGAGGGCTGGACGTGCAATTAAATTTCACAACCGGGAAAGCACCTGCAGCCCGAACCCCGTTTCCCAAATAAAACTACAGAGGGATAACAAAACGCTCCCCTAGCGCACGGAGTTCGCAGCGGCGCATTAAACGGGGTGAGAAGACGGCAGAGAAACCACAAAACCTGAACCCAAATGTACCAAGGAGCAATGCTCCAAAAATCAAAGCACCCTCTGAATGTCCTGCTCCATCTCCAAGCAGCGTCCTTGCTCCTACACCCCCCTGAGACCCCTTTTTTGCCAAACCCCCGGGCTTTCCTCTATCCCCCCATCATATACGTGTTGTTTGTACGTGTGTTGTGAGCTCCCCATGAGCGGACTCACCTTTCATCCTGGCTGCTTCGCGGGCGCTAACCCCTCGCCCGCACCCTCCTCGCGCCCCTCACCGAAAGCTGCATCTCCGAAAGCTCGCCCGAAAACCTCCTCTCTGCGGCTGCTTTCGGTTTCCTCAGTGGCTGGAAGTTTCCAGGCGATTTCTCGCACAGCCTGGATTTGATTAAAGCCTCCAGAGACGACCACGCATGTTCACAAACTCTCCCGGCCAACGTGGAAATGCGACAAGAGCTCGGGGAGCCGGCACACCCCGCCGCGAGCGCCGGTGGGGATGGGGTTTTATAGCACGGCAACCACCCGGCAGCTCGCGCTCCTCCACCACCGCTCGCTCTGCTCAGCCCAGCTGGTTTGCTTTGCAAATCAATTCAATAAAAAGCCCAAACCAGCCCCCAAACCTTTGTTCCCAGCTCTGGCAGAGTTAATGTGCAGCTCGGCGTTAGGGTTGGGTTTGGTTTTCGTCTCCGCGCTGTTTGCTGGGTCAAAGGGATTTGGGAAGGTTCAGGGGCTCTCCCCTCGGTCACGCTCGCAGGACAGGGGATGTTTTGGCTGTCCCTGCTCGCCCTCGGGCTCATGTTGACAGTCACTGGGGTTGGCCAAGGCGTTGGCCAAGGTTGGCCACCTCCAGCTCCTCAGCCACCCGAGAGAAAATCACACATCCTCCATCTGGGAAAGCTTCGGGTCATTTTTTGCAAGAGGCAATGAAACCAACCAGCACCAGATGATGATTTTTCTTTCCTTTACACTTTAACTCATGATGCTCTTCTCACCAGAGCCAGGCCAGCTCTCCCACCGAGTGATGCCATGGTAGAGCAAACATGCAAGTGCAGACAGCAGGTAAGGAGGATCCAGGCTGGATTTAGGGCAACAAATCTCATCATTGAGCCAGAAAATCTCCTTACGGTCATATCCAGCTGGAGCTGGGCAGCTTTTCCAATGGTCCCCGTGCCCATGGCAGCAGCTCCAACCCATCACAGCCACCAGCAAACAAATGGGTGGTGGAAACTGAGCCCTGTCCTACCCACAGCATCCTGCTTCCAGCGACCAATTCCCTAATATTTTACCCCAAAAGGACACCACTGATGCAGCCAGGACCTACCTGTTGGTCATACTGCAGTGGCACAGCCTCCTGGGGACAACCCTTCGGTCCCCTATGAGTCTTAAACCAGACTCATACAACTCCTGTGTGAAATAACCTTCTCCTCATCTGAGCTACCCCGATCCCCTGCAAGAGCTGAGAAATGGAAGCTTGAGGGAAAAACTAAGTCAGCCTGCACAGGATCCAGGAAACTGTTAACTTTTTAAAAGGCTTCACAGAAATCTGATGATTTGAAGCAGCCAAGCGTTGGGGGTTGGGTTTTTTTTTTCTAGGGGAGGAGCTATATTTTAATCTGCTTCAGATTTGTGCGAGCGCAGCCAAAAGAAATAAAAAAAGGAGCCGAAAAGAAGGATGAGAAGTTTCTGGGGCAGAACAAAAGCCTCCCTGTTGCTCTCTCCATGGCCAAGGCATTTTGGTGTGGGCAGATGCCCCTCTCCTGGGGTGCCCATCACCCCCTGCTGCGATGGTGGGGACGAAGTGGTGGGGAATTTGGGCAGGCACTTGCCTGATGCCCCATTTCCCTGTGGCCTCTGACTGCGATCGGGTCCATCGGGTCTGTAGGTCCTTGCAGAGTAAGAAAACATAGGGAGAGGAAGGGCAAATATCAAGGTCTGGAAAGGGTGAAAAAGTGGTTAGAAAACGTCCTGAATCAGGGAACTCCCATGGAGTAGGACTGGCTGGAGGAAGATCTTTTAAGGGTACTTAAAAAAAGAAGACATATATATACCTATATATATATATA